GATGCGTCGACTAGAGGAAAGCTACACTACAAGCCCAGCCGTTGCCCACGCTGGCTTGTGGTAAGTACGATAAGTTCTTCCAGGGCATCCCGCAAACCGGTCCTTAACTGCCATGGGTGCGACCAGCAAAACCATGCACCCACAGCCCACCATTCAGTCGCATTTTAGTTGGATAATTACGACCATGAAGCATGGCCAGATGTCTCGAGCACGCAGCTCATTCTGATACTAAAAGGTCTAATACTGTAATTATCCCATCAGCTGAGCTAGTGGTAATTAAGCATAGCTAAGCATACAGTTCTAGCTAGGTCACATAAGTAACATGAGCTAGTCGATTTATTACCCCCGTTTGACAAAGGACAGATATCAAGTAAACATGGCACAAGCGAGCAGATAGGTAATACCCGGATCCCATGTAATTAGCAAAACATGCATATTTATTTGCAAACGGTAAAACATTTATAAATTGGGATCAACATGCTCAAGGGGAATGTGTGACTTGCCTTGCTTCTTCAAACAATCTTCCGAACTCTTATCCTTGCGACCGCGATCTTCTGAAATGACGGGAACTACACGCTGGCACGCAAAACGAGGAAACACTCTAATAAAAACCAAGGAAACAGTACATAAAAAGTAAACAAACATGTAGAGCTCAATTTTAGATGAATTTTGCAAGTTGAACGGCTCAATTCGGAGTTCGAATGAATTAGATATGAATTTTAGAAGTTTTGAGCCATTTAAATGAATTTCTAGAATTATTAACGAATTATGACGCAATTATTATTTATTTTTCCAAAGGAAAAGAGGGTTGCTGACGTCATCAAAGGGGAGGGGCGGCGCCGGCAAGCGGGCCCCACCGGTCAGCGGCACAAGGGCGCCGGTCCACCGTGGACCGGGACCACCGAGGCGGTCCACCACCGGTCCACGGGAACCGACGGTCCGGATCGGCCCAAGCCGATCGGGCGGCCAGGGGCGGCGCAGCTGGGGCACAGCACGGCACAAAGCCGGCCTAGCTGAGCCATGGCGCGGCGGTAGCGCGGTCTCCGGCGACGGCGACCGATGGGCGGCGCGGGAGAGGCGGCACGCATGGGCGGCGGCGGCGCATGAGATCGACGCGGCGCGACAAGGGGGGGTCCGGGCGGCCCAGGCGAGCGGGGCGGCGGTGCACGGCCAGGTGGTCGCCGGCGGCGGCCACCGGCGCGGCAGCGCGCACGGGACACAGAGGAGGGAGGCAAGGAGGGAGAGGAGGAGCTCACCAAGGACGCGGCGACGAGGGGCGGGGAAAGGCGAGGGAGCTCGGTGTCGGTGCTCCTCGGGACGAAGGCGGAACGGCGGCCCGGTGGCGTAGGGTGGAGGTGGCTTGGGATGCACGGTGGAAGGGTGGTTGCGGCGATTAAATGGGGAAACGGAGCGGGGGCCGGGGTGCGGCGAGGCACGGAGAAGCCGGCAGTGCAAACGGCGCGGCGCGGCAGTGGCTAGGGCGGCGGCTAGAGGTGGCCGGAGCTCGCTGGGGACCGATGGAGAGAGGGAGCACGGTGGAGAGGTGGTTCGCGTGGTGGAAGGGGAGGAAGAAACGGCGGCCGAGCATTCCCTTGAGGTGGCAAAGCCAGCGGTAGCGGCGGAGCAGTGCGGCGACGACCCTAGCGACGGGAAACGGCGGCCGGAGTTCGCCGGAGTGTGGCGGCGCGCGGGAGCGGCGTGGGGAGAGCGAGGGAGAGAGTGCCGGGCTCGGGAAACAAGGGGAAATGGACGAGGGGAGCACGGGGGTGCTTTTTATGGGCTCGGGAAGGCGGGATCGAGGCCGGACGTGGCAGAATCGGCCGGCGAAGTGGGGCACCGACGTGGGGTGGTGGAGGGGTTAACTGGCGCCGATTTTCGCGGGGAGAGTGGGGGGGGAAAGGTGGAGGAGGTGGAGGGGATATATTTCACGCGCTCGTGGGGCGGGGTGGAGCGCGGGAGCCGCGGCGTCGTGGGGCGAAACCGGCGGCCATGGCGGCAGTTGGGGCGACGGGAGGTTGGGGAAGAAGATGACAGGTGGGGCCTCGGGTCCCACCTGTCGGGGAGAGAGAGAGGGGAAAACGGGCGAGGGAGGTAAAGCAGACTTGAGGGAGAGAGAGAGCCGAGCGGGCCGAGGGAGGAAGCCGGCCCGAGAGGGAGAGAAAAGGGGCGTGTGGGCCGCGGGAGAGAAGGAAGACTTGGGCCGAAAATGGCCCAAAGAGAGGAAGGGGGATTTTAATTGTTTTTCTTTTTATTTAGTTGGTTAAAATGAACTTTGTGCTTTTAAAATTATTTCTTGAGCTCCGAAAATTCACAGGAAATTTCAGAGTATTTTAGGGCAAAAGAATATTGCAAAATATTCCCGGCCAATGATTTTTAAAGGAAATTTTAATTTCCTCCATAATTCCATTTGATTAAATTGGTTTAACTTTTATTTAATTTTTAGAAAATGCATTATTAAATGATTTTTAATCCCGAACGAAAATCGGGGCGTTACACGGGAGCCCTTGCCGACAGAGATGAGGCTTGCCGCCCGATTGAGATGACCGATCTCATGTTAGTGCATAGAAAGTAAAGCCAAATGAGTATATCATCAATTCCGGTTCATATGCTCAACCGGTTACTAATTATGAATGATGCCATTCAGATATACCACTATTACAAAATACTTCATAGGTATCGACTCATAGTTATGGATTCATTAATTTAAAACCGGTACCTCTGAATCTTTTTCCACCTCCATACAATGAAAAAATCTAGAACCGGTACCTTTGAGCACTATTGATGCCGGTTCAAAAAAGAGGCACCAATACTATAGGTACTGATTTTTAAAAAGAATCGGCACCTATATCAGTTAATTAAAAACCGATACCTATAATTTATTATATGCAGGTTTTTTAAAGAACCGATAACAATCTAACCAACCCTAGCCGGTGAGGTGGGAGCCATGGGGTGGGAGAGAAATTTTAGCAAGAAGCCTTATCTGCTAGCAGATCTCTATCTCCACCGCCCCTCCCCCCACCCACCCCCCTCCATTCGCTACCCCTCCCCCTCCCTCTTCGTCCTTAAATCAAGTGAGTTAGAGTTGGATTGTATTATATGCTCTCACTTAAATAGATAGGGGGTACAATGTAACCAAGACAACTACAATGTAGCATACACACGCAAGTAGATGATGGCGGCAAGACCATGGACTCATAGTGACTATGTTCTATGTTGATTAGGGAGGAGCACCTATAATCAGAGCCACGGGGATTAGGCTTCGGCTAAACCTTGTTAACAAATATCATATATTCTTCTATCGTTGTGTAATATATCTTGGGTGATCGAAGTCATCAGGAAGGTTAGTCGTCATTACGATATATCGACTAACTTTTATAAATTAATCCATATTACCCAAAATCTAGCTACCACCATCTACTTTTGATAGTCATATTTCCAAATCTGAAAAATTTATTTTTGATAGGCATATTTCAATCCAACAATTTATCCTCTTAATGACTTTTTTAGATTTAATGCGTGACTCTCCATTCTTGCACACGAGATTGGCTACATAGGCATCGAGAAATGTAAATATTAATGAATCGCTTGTTTATGAGGAATAACTAGTACTCCCTCCATTCTAAATTGATGTACATATAATTTTTTTAGGTAATTCCTAAATGATCTACATATTTGTGTTCATTCATTAAGTCTATTCGTTCTTTGTGCATTAGAGTAAATGGACATTGATGCATGCATGCATGAACACAAGTATTTATAACCAAAATGCAATATCTTGATTTGCTATTGGCTAGAAAATAGTGGGGATGGTGCATGCATTGAGTTTGTTGCTAGAGTAAATATAGTATGAGAGAGTTATTAGCTTTTCTTGGTCTTGGTATACCTATAAAATATGTAGATCAATTTGAAATGGAGGGAGTAGCATGTTTAAATGGATGATAAGTAGAATTATTTATCCTTGGTCTGTATACCAAGATGAAATATGACTATCAAAAATAGCTGAAGAAAGTATATTACAGTACACTTTGTACTATTTCACGCATACAATATATGTGTGTATTATTTCGTGAACGTATATAAATACTATCTATCCCGGCCACAAATTATAATATTATTAAAATGAAATTGGACTACTAGACATTTTGGTAGGAAAAAATAAAATTGATGTGAATATTACACATGTGGCTATAATTTATATATGCCAAAGGTGGAATGAATTTTCACAGATGACCCTATATAGTTAGGGACACCTACAAAGATTAATTTTCGCATGCATACGTCTTAACCTAACCATCTACGAAAATAGGCCTATGCAGGCGGCTGACTACCCGCCCATAAAAATTTCTATGATCTTTATTAGTGACAGGAGAAGCGTCTGACCACATGTGAAAATAGCTTTCATAGTAGTGATTGGTGTTGGTTCTAAAATTTAAACATTGTGACTTTCCTTATCAGTGCCGGTATAGCAGTGCCGGTTGGCGATAGCCCTTCCCAAATGGTACTAATGAGGTTTGTTGTGCTATGCTACTGCGTTCATATTAAAATTTTGATCCCAAATTATACTAATTATTTTATTTATTCTACATCTGACTTTAGGATCTCGTTTATACCCCGGGATACTATAAAGCTTTTCTTGCTACTAAGATCCTACATACGGTGGTACTATACGTATACACCTATACTTGGTGGCAGGTGGAACAGTTCCAATTAAAGTGCCAATGATTGGAGCAGCCCTGTATAAACTATCAACTCATATATTATTTATATCTAACTTTCTCCAATAACCTTTCTGATAAATGAGAGGACTAGCTAGTAATGTCACTGTGTGACATTGTGAGTAAGAACTAATAGCACTAAAATAATACTAGCTAGGAAAATGAACCTCACAAAGGAAGAAAAATAATAATGGGTCATGAAGGAATAGTAGCTATAGCAGTGAGTGACAGCTGAACGCCAAGATCATGGGATATAGTATATAGGTGGCCAACTCGTTCCTCTGTTAATAACCAATTAATTCGTGATCAGCTCATCATTATAGCCAACCTACACTGTCACTGTGTGGATCTTTGTCCTAACTACCCCTTGCACAGTGCTCCCCCCTGCTGCCACTCTCAGTGACCACGTGCGCTCGTGCCAATGCACTACTATTATATTAATCCATCTCACTAATCAATTCATTTGCACCATAATATTATTGATTTTTCATTGCAGCTTATATATATCAGTCATATATATCGTTGCCATTGTAACAAGATCGATCGATCGATCATGGAGGAGGAGAGGTCTCGGGCCGGCGGCGCCGCCGTCGCCGTCGACGGCGAGTCGCTGCGGCGGCCGGAGGAGGAGGGGGGGAGGAGGAAGAAGGGCGGGTGGATCACGTTCCCTTTCATGGCGGTGTCGCTGCTGGCGTTCGGGCTGTCGTCGGCGGGCGCCATGGGCAACCTGGTGGTGTATCTGGTGAAGGAGTACCACGTGCCCAGCGTGGACGCCGCGCAGATCTCCACCATCGTCTCCGGCTGCATCAGCGTCGCCCCCGTCGCCGGCGCCATCGTCGCCGACGCCTTCTTCGGCTGCTTCCCCGTCGTCGCCGTCGCCATGGTCTTCTCCGTCCTGGTAAGTGCACATCATGTGTTCGACGTGTTGTCGTGCCGTGCGAGCTAATGATGACCATGCGCGGGCCGGCGCGCGGCGCAGGCGTTGGTGGTGTTCACGCTAACGGCGAGCGTGCGGGGGCTGAGGCCGGCGGCGTGCGTGCCCGGGGCGACGGCGTGCGAGGCGGCGACGGCGGGGCAGATGGCGGTGCTGTACGCGGGGGTGTTCCTGCTGTGCGTGAGCTCGGCGGGGGCGCGGTTCAACCAGGCGACCATGGGCGCCGACCAGTTCGACGCCGCCGCCGACCGCGACGTCTTCTTCAACTGGTACTTCATCTTCTTCTACGGCTCCGCCGTGCTCGGCTCCACCGTGCTCGTCTACGTCCAGGACGCCGTGTCGTGGGAGCTCGGCTTCGGCCTCGCCGCCACCATCGCCGCCGCCGGCCTCGCCGCGCTGCTCCTCGGCGCGCGCTACTACCGCCGCCCCGCCGCGCGGGGGAGCCCCTTCACGGGGATCGCCAGGGTCGTCGTCGCCGCCGCGAGGAAGAGGAAGATCGACGTCGCGGCGGCGGCGGCGGCGTCGGGCGACTTGAAGTTTTACTACGGCCCACGTAGCGGCGACGGTGACGACGACGGTGGCAAGCCGAGCGACGACAATAATTTCGCCCCAAGCGACAGCTTTAGGTAAGAAATTAACTTAGTAAACCATTTTATCGTTTCATATTATTAGTGACATTTTTCTTAATTAAATTATAAACTTTTTAAGTTTAATTAAGTTTATAAAAAAATATACTACTATTTTAATACAAAACATACATATTAGCATTAAAATATCTTTAATGCTAAATTTAATGGAACTAATTAATTTGATGTTGCAGATATGTTGCTGATTTTTTTATAAACTTTATCAAATCTTAAGAATTTTCATTAAAAAATAAAATAACTTATAATATGAGATCGAGGGAGTACTAACTTTCTCTTAGTTAGGCAAGACATTTTTAAGTAATTATAATTAAGTAGGATAGTAGCTTAACAACTACTAATTAATAGCTATTATGCATACATATTTGGACACCAAAAACACACACCATGTGCCAAGGAAGATTAATTGATCTGCATGGACCAGTAATCGTGACATATATATATGTCCGTTCTCATTATATTTATATATATATCATTTCTGAAGTCAAAATAAAATTTTCACTTCTAAGCTCTTCTTTGAAATTAATATTATAGGATTTTCACGAGATAATTCAAATCTTTCATATTGAAAATTCACGCCCCCCGCCCCCCCCCCCCCCCCCCCTTGCGCCCCCGGCGTGAGGTCGTAGGAGAGCTCACCGCATTATATTAAGGAGGAAATAAAGCAAAATCGCAGAGTTTGCACACAATAGAATAAACAAGTTACATAAGCTTTGCTTTAAATTAAACAAAGGCATATACATAACTTCTCTAACACGTACAAAAGGGTAAACAGCAGCACGCTATGATAATATTATACAGAGAACCGGCTAAATACTGTACATGTTTTTTTTTAAAAAAAAACATGGTACGTCTTCGTATAAACATGCACATATTCACACCATAAAAAACACGTAAACATATACCATATCCCATAAACTAGATAAAACCCCACACATGACAGTAAGTAGAAATAATGAGTTGCATTGTTAGACAATGCTCTCCCCATCTAGGAATATAAGGTACTATGTTTAAAATAGTACAAATTAAAAAAGAGTAAGCGGTACATCCGTGTAGTTTGAGAAAACATCGTTGGCACCATAAACAAGTAGTACTAGAACGTTCTTTGTATTTTTTTTTTTTAGTTTTTACATGGATGGTGTGTAGTAGTAGTACTACTGGACGTTCTCTGTATTTTTTTTATTTCCGACAAAAACCGATTGATGGGTCACTGCAGTCATTGCTTGCTTTGAGAGGAGAAAAATATGTGGGGGTTTCTAAAAACACCGGATGAAATATTTTTTGGTGAAATAAAAAATAAATCATATTTTCTTAATAGGGGGTTTCTAAAATATGTGGGTTTTTTTTAATGGAATATTTCGTTCACTGCAACATTAGATCTATACATAGTGAAACATTGTGAGTACACTAAGTGAAACATTTTTGGTAGAAAAAAATAAACCAAATTCCCTTAAAAGAGAGTTTCCAAAATATGTGGGTTTTTTGTTGCAAAAAAGTATTTTAATTTACTGCAACATTAGATCTATAAATAGTAAAACATTGTAAATACACTAGGTGAAATATCTTTTGTGGAAAAAATGAAAGAAAAGTGGGTGGGTCCAACAGTACGCACGTGGGGGGAGAGGCGCGCAGGGGGAGTGTCCGATCCGGCTCCCGCCGCACCGGGCGACCGGCGTAAAGTATTTTTAGAAAAAACCACTATATTTTTGGACATACCTAGGGAGCAAAATCCCCTATACTTCTGAACAATAGGAGTATAAGCTCACATAAGTTGATATGATTTATGATAATTTAAATAGTATATAGAATAATGATTCAAGTGAAAAAGTAACATGATGTGGCTTTATGAGAGAAGAAAGAAGGAAGATAATTTAGACCATAGATTAATTATCTAAGGGCTAAAAACAATTGAGATGATAATGACTTAATGAGAAAAGAAAATAAAAAAGATAATTTGAACCATAGATTAATCATATAATAGCTAAAAACAATTGATATGATATGGCTTGATGAGAGGATAGAGAAATAACATTAACTAAGAGAGGATAAACTAAAAAGGTATATATGATATTATAAAAATGATGGAGAGAGATATTGAAATATTATGTGAATTATGTGGGATAATGATTTAACATGTTTATATTTTAAAGCTCTAAAACCTAAAAAATTATAGAATTATAGAGAATACAACATACTTCCATGATGTTTAAGATATAATAATTGTTAGTAGATAATGATGTGATATTTTTGCACGTTGAGTTTTAGTATTTAATTGTTGTAACTTTATAATAAGATAGGATATCTCTAAAGACTGCGATGATATATCTTGAGATTCACGATTAGTGCATTACATAGAAAAAATATTTTATGGCCGGTTGCTAAAAAAGGGCAGGGATATATGAACAAGATGGAAGGTAGAACAAGAAAAGGCGGAATATAGTTAATAATGCAGCAAGTTCATCACAGCAAATCGGATTTATTCCAAAACGCCGAAATTCCAGCTATCGTGAGTCTGACCACCCGTGCTTTATTCCGAAACACCAAAATTCTCTCTTTTATAATATATATATATATATATATATATATATATATATATATATATATATATATATGCATGTGCACGTACTACCTGCCACCATTGCTTTCGAAAATCTTTGCTTGATACATTTTAAATGTTCGAAAATTCAGAACCGTGAATGCTACTCCTTCCATCTCTCTCTTTCTAGTTTTGTCCTGCTCCCTCCGTTCCAAAAAAAAAGACAAACCCTGGTTTCCGTAATCAACATTTGACCGTCCGTCTTATTTGAAAAAATTATGAAAAAAATTAAAAAGATAAGTCACGCATAAAGTATTAATCATGTTTTATCATCTAACAACGATAAAAATACTAATTATAAAAAAATTTCATATATGATGTCAAACGTTGTCACGGAAACCTAGGGTTTGTCTTTTTTTTTTGGGACGGAGGGAGTAAGTCCGATCTAACTCTTTAATACTTGGGACAAAACGTACTTATAGTTGTCGCTAGTTACCCAACTTTTACATTTCGTAGCCAAAATTGTCACTGAGAGCTGTGTCGCACGCACTCATATCACGTACTCTCCCTCCGTCCCATTATACTTATTATTATATGTTTATTTAGCGTAGATTAAGGATTAAAACAATAAGACTATAGTGCTCTTTTTAAATAATGTATGATTGAGAGTTGAAGGATGGTTGATGATAGAATAGGGAGAATATTTGGTTGTCAGATGATTAATATGATAAGTTGTACTCTACTATAACAATTATTTTTGGGATAAAACTTAAATCTTATAAAGACAACTATTTTAGAGTGAGAGAGTAGGTAATTAATTAACAGGTATTGTTAGCTATCACAAAAAATATCAATTTTGGTCCTTACGTGCGGGACTAATTCTAGCTTACTGTGTATAATCAATTGCTGTCCTCGTCTCCAAGACGTGTTTTGAATATATAGTGGTGACTGGGGGTGTCTGAATCAGTACAGCTCATTTAATTAATTATTTAAGGGAGGGGTCCGGCGAAATTAATTAACGGAAGTGTACAATGGTTAAAATATAATACTATCACTGAGCAGAGAGCACCGATCGATGTCAATGTCAAATTTAAGGACTCAAATAATGGTATTGATTCACGTTGTAATTGGATATTTTATTTATTTTATTACACTCTGAAAAGTGGGTAGATTATGTGTTTTAGTTGTCCTTTCGAATCAAATACTATGAATTTCCAACAGCCTTAAAGCAAAAAATGACATGGACAAATTAGTGGAATAAGCTATTTTTTTACTAAGAGCCTTGTTACATAGCCAACGATATGGGGATCACGACACGAAAATTTTAGATTTTGTTTTCCAACCAAGACGTCAGTGCCTTGGAAATTTTAGGTGATAGATCGAACTGATTAGTCTCGCCTCACAAAGTTGGCTTTTCTGCCTTTTTTTTTCGCCGGGCTGACTAAAGCTGATCGAATTTTATTAAGAGAGGGAGAATGTACAATGTGCAAAGTATAGATTACAGCCTATCTAGCTACACAAATATTTTTTAAAAAGAAATTATGAACGTGTGTTGAGAATTGAGCGTGGGACCTAAGAGTTAAAACCGCGTGCCTCTTGCAACTGCACTGTCAAGTGCAACTCAAGGATAAATTAGTACTAACAAATAGTCTAACTAAAAAAACCGAAAAATTAGGTTACAACGTTTCGTATATACGGGCTGCATGTCTCCTTTTCTACGACTTCCATTCGAAAATTAAATAACATGTACACGAAGATGCAACCATTTCGTACGATGTGACAAATTTGAGAACGACATACCAACCATATCAAAATTAATATGTTTGTTTGCTCTACAGAACTGAAGATGATTTTGAAACTTTCAAATTAGATTTTTAGGAATAATTCGATATAGTGTTTTGCGTGTTTAGTTATACTAGCAATCAGGAAAATTGATATTGGCAATTAAAACCACTACCCCTAAAGTTAATTATTCTTAAAAGATAATCCTAAAATTTAGAATCAGCTTCACGTTTCCACTAAGAAACTTCTTTTTAATGATAATGCATGCTCTGCTATACGATAGGATAGATTACTTTATTCGGAGCTAATCCACTTGCTCCCTCCGTCCTAAAAATAAAGTATTAGTGGAAATGATAATGCATGCTCTGCTACACGATAGAGTAGATTACTTTATTCGAAGCTAATCCACTTGCTCCCTCCGTTCTAAAAATAAAGAATTAGTGAAATTAGTAAAGATAGAGAATGACTAAAATAGCTTTGATCATTGAAAAAAGTAGTAAGAGTGATAGGTATGTAAAGGGTATTAAAGAAATAAACTTCTTATTTTGCGTGCTGAGAGTATGTAGGATAGTAGAAGTTTGTTTTTTTTTACAAAATTTAAAATTTAAACTCTATAAGTTGAGTTTTTTTTTTACTTTTACCGAGGGAGTAGGTCACACTCCGATTTGATACTTATTTAGTACTGTAGAAACACTGACTTGACAATGACGACCACTTTGAACAACTGACGCGACCTGCATGCATCACACAGCTTCCTGAACCGCGCCGCGGTGATCACCGACGGCGACGTGGACGCGGCGGACGCGGCGGCGCCGCTCCGGCCGTGGCGGGTGTGCACGGTGCGGCAGGTGGAGGACCTCAAGGCGGTGCTCCGCATCCTGCCGCTGTGGAGCTCCTCCATCTTCCTCAGCATCTCCATCGGCGTGCAGCTCAACTTCACCGTCCTCCAGGCGCTCGCCATGGACCGCGCCATCGGCCGCTTCCACGTCCCGGCGGCCTCCATGGTCGTCTCCTCCTTCGTCGCCGTCGTCGTCTCCCTCGGCCTCATCGACCGCGCGCTCCTCCCGCTGTGGCGCGCGCTCACCGGCGGCCGCCGCGCCCCGACGCCGCTGCAGCGGATCGGCGTGGGCCACGTGCTGACCGTGCTGAGCATGGCCGCGTCGGCCGCCGTCGAGCGCCGCCGCCTCGCCACCGTGCGCGCCCACGGCGAGGCGGCGCGGGACGACCCGGCGTGGGTGTCGCCGCTGCCGGCGGCGTGGCTGGTGCTGCCGTTCGCGCTGTCCGGCGCCGGCGAGGCGTTCCACTTCCCGGCGCAGGTGACGCTCTACTACCAGGAGTTCCCGCCGTCGCTCAAGAACACGGCGTCGGGCATGGTCGCCATGATCGTCGCGCTCGGGTTCTACCTCAGCACGGCGCTCGTCGACGCCGTGCGCCGCGCCACCGCGTGGCTGCCGGACAACATGAACGCCTCCAGGCTGGAGAACCTCTACTGGCTGCTCGCCGTGCTCGTCGCCATCAACTTTGGGTACTACCTCGCGTGCGCCAAGCTCTACAAGTACCAGAACTTCGGCAAGTAGACACAGCCATGGCTGCCATGACCATGAACATCTTCAGAGCTCTGTACATTACAAAATAAACTGCTGACATGATCAAGATCATACTATCACAGAGGTTGTGTGATCAATGTATTATCGGTAGTGTATTTCCATCTTCTTCGTTGAGGAGAATTGTGCAAGCTAATTTGCCTATGATCTTCATCTGCATGCCTGGCTGAATCATGCTGCTCCAACGGTTACCATCTCCGAATTTTGCTGAAGATGTTGGGAAGGGCAGAGTTGTTGTGGCTATGGCCTGACTCGGTTCAGAATTGTGTGAACCTTCTGCTGGTCAGCGATTCTTCTGAAACATGGGTAAAATTGCACACTGAAACTTCCATATAGTAAACAAAGAAAACGCTTAAGTATGATATCTTCTATGATGCATAAAGTCAGGTTTTACCATTCAAGAAATCTCCATGACAGAGACTGATGCATTATATATCTTGTTTTTTGGCATAAATTATTTATCAACTGGCCAGCATGCCTTTCAGAAGCACCAACCAAATCAATCTGGCATGGCGAGAGAAATCTTCACAGATAATCTGACCACAAATCAGAGCTCAAGACAAGCAAAGTAATGTTCGCAGATAGACTACTCCCAACAGTTTAATATTCCTGTGTCAGAAATCTCAGAATTATGTCTTGTATGGCGAGGATGCGCCCCCACCAACGCTACCGCCCACCTTCATCAGGCTGCCATCAGCATTTTTCTCAAACAGATCATCGAAGTATTTGTTAGAAGAAACATAAGATGGCCTGCGAGCTCCTGCAGACATCGGTTGCTTAGTGCTCCCGTTTATCGGCGATTGTGGCCCGGCACTTCGAAGCGGAACCCCGAAAGAATTTGATTGCTGTAGAGGCCTCAAATTCAGTGGTACATTAACCGGCGAGGCGGAAGTAGGTTGGTTCTTCAGTGAAGCTGCAATGAAAGGGTTGGACTCGGCGGTGTCCTCCGATGCCCATGGCGGTGGCGGGTAGGGAGATGAGTTGTAGGGCAATTGTGACTGGGATGGTTGTTGATGCTGCTGAAGCTGAATGCCTGGAGTTTGACATTGAGGCTGAGCCCAAGGAGCAACATAGCTGTTGTATGATGCAGCAGCAAGTCCTTGGTTTGAGTAACTAGGTTGTGGATGATCATTGGCTTGCGAGCCACCTTGGTTCATGGTGGTGGTAGCTTCAGGTGTTGGTGGAGTTTGAGGTGGTGAAGGGTTTGATATGGTGAGTGCAAGAAGGTCACTCATAACTTGCTCTTCTGCAGTTCTAACAGGAGCTGGAGGATCAGGCAGTGCCAATGCATGGCTTTGAACAGGTGGTGAAACTGTAGAGGTACCAGAAGATCCTGAACTTGTTATCTCATCGTCATGGGCGGTCGACAAAGATGTTGCTACGCCAGAAGGGGTGCTCTCAGCATTTGTAGACCTGAATTTCGAATTCCTGATCACAAGATTGACTCAGGTCTGGATGATTTCAAGGATAAATGGGTAGGAAACAAGAATATTGTCGGCAATCAGAACAACCTGCGAGCGAGCTGAGAGAACTCGTCATCTTCATCTTCCTCCTCTTCATCGAAAACATTAGTTGGTACTATAGCAGCAACTGCAGCTCGAGGAGCCCCTGTTGCCACTGGAGTTGAAGTTGTTTCTGCTGATGATTCATTCATGATATCTGTTTCTTCATCTGGTAGAGGAGAACCTGATGCAATTGCATCATGTTTGCCAAGCAGAATCTGCATCCTATCATTCAAGTCAAGAGCTTGGCCCAAGAGCTCCTCATCTCTGTAATAATGCAGCAGATGAACTTGAGACAATGATAATAACACCAAAATAAAAAGAATAATGTATATATTTAAACAATTTTCAAAGGAAACTGGTGGCTCATTCTCTATTCCCTCCCTCTTCCACATCCCTAAAAAATCTCTAAACAAAACAAAAAAGTAAAATCATCTCCTTGGAGAATATTTATGTCTCTAAAAAAAAGTGGGAACAACACCTCCCAGGCTTCCAGCAGGAAAACTAAATATACAGTTTTATAGTTACCTGAACCCCTCCCTCTTAAAAATCTGGTGGGGCATGGTAATAGTCTAATAGAGGCTTAACGAGTGCTAGAATTTGGGGAAGCATGGTTGGCAGCAGGCCAAGGGTGTGTGAGTACTGAGTGAAATTATGGTGCCTTGTTGTTGTAGGCAAACTCAATAGGTTACATCATATTCTTATGAATGAGTCATAAGGTCACAAGCTTTCAGTTCATGCAGCAGAACTTTCAAGCAATACACAACTTTTAACTTTTTAATTTTTAATTTTTCGTAGCCATTATGCATAGCTTCATCTAACCAAGTCGCATGGCTACTAGATCCATATAATATCGTATAGAGTCCATCTTATACATGAATGAGAATAATTTTATTATCTATTCTCCTTCAGGTTTTTATGAACAAAATGGCTAGAAGATGTTCTGTAGACCCAGGATTTTAAGATGTTGCTCTGTTCTTTTCCTCACTTTGTATGCATTGCAAACCAATCAAATTTTATTCACGCCTAGCTTCATACATTTATACTCTAAAGTAGGTAGATTCATGTGTGTTAGTTCTACTTTGGAATCAAATAGCAACTTCCAGCATCCTAACAGCAAAAGATGACATCACCAAATCAATGGAACTGTCCAATCTGAAAAGATAACAGAGTAAATATGCAGGGCAGAGTGTTTATAGAAGTATATACCTTAATGAAGTTACCAAACTTATTATCTTTTTCTGGTCTGACCGGCATTGTTTCACAAGCTCTGTGATAATTTCATCGTTGACAGCCTACATTGCCAAAAAGGTTTTTAGTTTCAGAAAAAGAGCAATAAAAAAATCACTTGGTCTTCAACACCAAGTTAAAAGGAAGGTACATGGCAGCCAAGGATTCTACAGTAAAAAACTGAAACTGTTGATCTGATAATAACGATGACCCTTTTTAACATTAAAATAAAATAGGGACAAGAAATCATCAAATAGACATCACATGTCATACCCCACGATCATGTGGATTCACTGCTTTCAGCATCTCGCTTAATAGTTCAACAGCACCTAACATGCGTTCCATCTCCGATGAACTAAAGAAAAATTAATTGTCATACAACATGGGAGAGAAAAGGAATAGTATTTCCATTAATAAAACATATTAAAATGATGTCACCTCAGGGAAGGCCCGTTAGATGGCATTGCCTCATCAAATCTAGAGGAAGAATTAACTGGCATTCCGTAACTTGGTTGATGATAAGATTCCAAAGATGTTGGGCGTGTGATTGGAGGAGTAAGTATTGGTGCAGCATCAGGTGATCGCCGAGGAAATTCCAAGCCCAATTTCTGCAGATAAAGATACTCATTGATTTGTGCGAAAATAATGTTCCAGAATAGAATAGAACAATGATACAACTTCATTTATCTGAAGGTTTCCATATAGGTATAATATTGATATATATTGTAAACATGAACAAATTGTAAAGCATGGATCCTCTCTTGGTTCATATCAGGGTAGCTATTGTGCAAAAGATGGCCATATAATAGCATGGCTAAAGGGGAGGGATGGAGAACATAGGACCATAAAGGCTGATAATTGAACTTTGAGAAAAGGATCAACAATTATTCCTTGATTGATAATAATGCACATTATCCCTCTTGTCTTAGACACCTAAGAAACAATCCTAGACAAGGGAAATGAATCAATCTTATAAGGAAACTAACTGTTGTCGTCTCTAACTCATTCTAAATCTATTCATACATGTATGGAATTTTAGATTCCTCATAATCAAGCTTCTTTAACTTTGAGTGCTATTATAGAAAATTGTAGTATTCTACTATTAGTTGTCATGAAAAGTATTTTTCATACAGGGATGTATTTCAAAGATTTTATGAAGTCGTCCATTTGGTAGTTAATCATGTGTTTAACTTATGATAAATACCACACAAAATAGTTATCCTGACAGGAGCCAGACAATGAAGGTGCAAAGAAAAATCCAAGTTAAACTAACCTCAAACATTAATTGTATTAGTACCATAAACTCATTGAACTTTTACACTTGTGGTTAAAATTTGACAGTATAACAATTAAATAATCAAGTCATCAAGCTGCAGGTTATCTAAAATCAAAATGTAGTCACAGGAATCCCTTTAAAAGGCAGCATAAATAATTCCCATGTAGCATGACAACAGTTCATGACATATTGAACAGACCTTCATTTCAGCATATGCCCAGTAGTACTGGGGATGCTTCCCACCATTCCCACCAAATGCTTCTTGCCAAGATTCAAGGAGTACTAGAATTTTGTCCCTCAACTGCATATCAGTCTGAAAACAGCCATGACTAAAAAAAATTAGATCAGCATGGCGAAATGAAGAAAGTTAAAAGTAAAAGATCTTCAAAATTATTTTTGTCGGGCCGGCATAAGCCGGCTGAAAGATCTTTCAAATTAAGGACCTCAAGTCTCAGAAAGATCTAGTTTGTATGTGATGATTCAGTTATCCAAATATTATTACCAATGGTCCCAACAGTAAATTATTAGCATGTATAAAGTTTCCTGTGAGAGCAAAGATTAGATGAATGGATAAAAACGCCAAATAAAAAACAGATCATGCGATGTTATTGAAAAGAATATTTGCTCCCCATGAAAAATTGAAAGTTCAAGGAGTATGATTCTCCCATGACTATTCGGTTCCTGCTTGTTCAATAACTCAGAGATAAATCACTATTTCTAAGTCTTGCAGCTATGTGATGAGTGATTTTAATAGTATTCATTTAGACCTTTATTTTGCGGGGAAGTATTCATGTAGACTTTGGATAAGAATAAAAAAATTATAATCTGATTATATGCATCTTGCAAAATGTAAATTACAGCAATGTATCTCATAGACAGGTTTGGTGTTGAATCAAGCCACATCAGCTATAACATTTAACCATATATGTACCAAAGAAAAGGAATTTCACATGGATACCACCAAGAATGTCTTGATTCAGAAAATTCCCAACAAACTAGTATAAGGCCGTAGGAACACATGGCAGTGAAAGATCAAGTGGCATTTTATTACAGTGGTGCGTAGATAAATGACCCCAAAATTGCCATAGGGAAAAAATGTTACCTTCTTCTTAACAATTTTGATCATCTCCTGCAGTATATCACGCTCTACAACTTGTGAATGCACATGATCCCCACAATTCTTCATTAGAGTTTCCAATAGCTGCAAAAGCAATTGCATGGTGTTCTCACAGAGACAAATAACAGAGGACGTTCGAGAACATAAAGGTTATTTAAGCAGGGAAGCATACCGTCAAAGCAAAAAACTGAACCTTTGAATTTTTGTGCTGGAGACGCTTCTTCAAAGCTTTAATCACCTCTTTTGCTTGCCTGCATTATTTTAAACTCAGCCATTTACTCTTGTAGTATATCATTGATATACGATATTTTGTATTGTTTGTACTTTCAATTGTGAAGCCTCCAAAGAAGGATTCAAACATGAACAGCTATAGCCAATTAGCTATTCCTATTGGAGTTTCCTACTGAGATTATAAGCCGAACTTCTCAACATTGGTTCAGCTACTATAGTGGTGAAGTTTTGAATCCTGACAATTTGGAACTTATTGTTGATGACGAATTAGCAACGCGATGTTTGGTCAAGTCAGTCGCACAAGTTATTCCACACATGTATCATATTTGTATATCAGAAATCAGATTCCCCTGCATCCTCAACCGCTTAAGCTTCGCTGGCTAGCCGTGACATGGAACCAGAGATATCATTATCATGTATCATGGTTCAGTGGTCCTGTCTGTCTCTCTAATATTTAAGGAAAAGAATAATGTCAAAAGGATGAAGGTAATTTAGATTAAGATGGTCCATCTGTGCCTATGTTGGGTCTAGATTGACACCTGGTTCAGTCTAAACAACAGGTGCTGCATTGAAGTATGAGCATCATTCTTGAAAGGGGGAAAAGCCATGTATGTTCTCAACTTGTTTATCTGTTGCATATGCATTTTTTAAAAAAAAAAATTGAGAACTGGTAACAGGAAACCATCCACAAAAATGAACTAGACCGAAAAGGTATAAAGAAGGAAGACTCAGATTTTATATTTGTGGGTTCTATTAAAGAAGGGCTAGTTGAACCGATATTTGAAGTTCAAGTTTTCTGTTGACAAAATGATCGTTCACGCCGCCTGTACTATCCAGTATTTGCCATGATCAAGCAAGGGGCAACTTTTCCACAACAGCAAAAGTCAAAAAAGAAAGAAGAAAAAACGAAGAAAAACGAACATACTGATGATGTGCTACTGAATAGTACTGATCATGAGAGTAGGAGTAACCGATCAGATCCTAAAATTCTGGCGATTTGACGACGAGTGGAGCAAAAGGCACCCTTCTGATCATTTGCTTTCGCCCGTTTCTCACGAGACATTTTCAGATGATGATGATGGTAACGTTGGTTTTTTCACATACCCAAGAACCGATTCTTTAAGCCCCATCAACCCACGCCCTTAGAAAAAATAACACTAATACGCATATCGATCGTAATTAGAGAGAGATAAACCCACTTATCTTATTCCTTGAATTATCCATCCATCGTGATCAAAATCCAAATAAGCAGAGGATTCCATTCCCATTATTTACACACCATAATTTTGGGTTGCACGAGAACCAAGAATTCAAAACTAAATCATCGAGAGAGAGAGAGAGAGAGAGAGAGAGAGGAGGGGGGGAGTGACACACCCGTGATCGGAGTTGACGGCGTCGCAGATGTCGATGTTGAGGGTCCAGTCGGGGCCGAGCAGCAGCTCGCTCGTGGCCTTGTCTACCCGCACCGCCGCCGCCGCCATCGGTCACCGATCGCCGGCGCCGGCGTCTCCCTCTCGCGGGTGGCGGCGGAGGGAATCCGAACCCCGCGTGGGCTGGGGCCTGGGTGCGGTGCGAGTCGGAGGGAGGGAGGGAGGGAGAGACGAACAAACAAGCAGGTGAGAGAAGCGAAGGAATGAGGGGGGCGGAGGGAGTATTAAAGATGCTGCTGTGCTGTGTGTTTTTGTTCTGTTTGGGTGTGGGTGTGTGACTGTGCATGCGTTGCCGCTGCCTACGCAACGCGGCGTGCGCCTCGAAGCGGCGCGGAAAGGTGACACACAACACAACGGACGGCTCTGGCTGCTACTGCCGCTGCCTGGGTGCGGCCGTGCGGGCGATATGATCACTATCTCGGTTGCTGTATTCTATATTCTCAACGGAGAGAGTACTATGTATTTATTTTAGAGTAAATTTCATAAAACTATAAGGTATTTTGACTAAATTATCATAAAACTATAGATTTAAGGAGTTGTATCATAAAACTACACATTTAGCACCAAATTTATCACAAAGCTGCATATTTTAGGTTAAGTATCACAAAAATACATATTTAATATTGAACTTATCACAAAATTACAACTTCTGGAGTTTAAATCCCTAGCACCATTGTTATGGTGGAGCTATAAATATTATTACTTTGTGATTAAATTGGTTCTAAACCCGTAGTTTTATGATAATTTAGTTACTAAACGTGTAGTTTTGTAACACTTCATCTTAAATGTATAGTTTTGTGATAAATTTGGTGCTAAATATGCAGTTTTGTGATACAACTCCTTAAATATGTAGTTTTGTGATAGTTTGGTCATAGTATCTATAGTTTTGTGAAATTTACTCTTTATTTTATTATATAGCTGGTGCATATTTTTTTATTAGACTTATTTTATAAATAGATACTAGATAAATTTAATTTAGGGATACATCTTTTTCTTGGAGCCTTTGATCCTAGTGTCGAGGTGTAACACCTTGACGTCGACCTCCCTAGCAGCTGAGATATACTACTTTCGTCCCATAAAAAACCAACCTAATAAAAAACCAACCTAATACCGGATGTGACACATCCTAATACTACGAAACTGGACATACATAAATCCAGATTTATCGTACTAGAATATGTTACATACGGTTCTAGATTCATTTTTTTATGGGACGGAGGGAGTATAGGGGTAAGGCCAAAGAGAATAGTGTCAAACTTTTTCTTCAAAAAGTTCAAAATGTAAATATATTTTCTTACATATTTCTATGAGAAAGGATTGCACTAAATAGCCTATTTTAAACCACATCTTTTAATTTTTCACCCTCTTCAAGAGAATATATTTTATAAATAGGTTCTCAACATAATTTATCAACCTCTTCACATCAGCGACTTAGTTACCACGAAGGACGAGAGTGTTAAGGTTATTGGTGTCGAGATATAAAACATCGGCATCAATAATCCTGACACTGATAAATATATTTTATTTCTGAATTAATAAGTTTTTTAAAATAAGTTTTACAAACACTAAAATGTTTTAAAAAAATCTAGGGTCGGTCTCGTGTTTTCTTTTCTACCTTCCAAAAGAGTAGAATCAATGATACACTTTCTTTTTCTGATTAAAACAGGTGATACATATATTTGTCTGCTTGAGATGTAGGGGAGGCAGTCGTCTCACACGCCATGTACGATAAGATCATACAAATACCACATTGCCCACAATAGAGACAACCCTCATATGTGATTCTACTTTTTTTTCAACCCTTATGATATTTCTTATTACAAAATCAACTTGAACTTTTATATTCGGACCTTATAGCAATTAAAAGAAATACATATATAACCTAGCCTACACACGGACCCACTATTAGCCTCTCCCACCTTTTCCTATCTCTTCCCCACCCTCTCTCTATTCCCACCAGCCGCCGACCTCGAAACCACATCCCCTTTTCACAGCGGTGCCACCTCATTGTCCGCCACCGCAACGCTACCTCCTCTTCCATCACCACAGCACTGCCTCTCCCCCTTCTCCCCATCCATCGTGGTGCCACTCTTTTCTTCCATTGTCGGCCTCTCCTCCGCTTCTCCACATATTTCTCCCATTGCCTCCTCTTCTTGTGGTTGTTGAGAGGCCACAGAGGCAGCAGATCTGGGCTATGAACTCATTGGATCCGGCCATAGGTTTGTTGGATTTGCACCTACAATGATCTCGGCATGAGTACTCCTCGGCGATGGGGAGCGGTGATGGCCTTGACGGTAGACCTTAGTAGCGGTGGGAGCGACAACGTCACCTCGACGTTGGAGAGAGGGGACGATAACCATGACAAGTTGGGCTCTTGCTACTTCTCTTTTTTTCCAAGCAAATTGTGGGGCTCCGAACTTGTCCAATGCACGGCCATGAGCTGTGTCTTTAGCTAGAGCTCTCGAGATGAGGCATGATGAGGCAACCGGGACCTCTACAGGTCCCGCGTGTTGCCGCGAGACCACAGATCCTACTGTCATGAATGCTCAGCTCTAACGTGGAGGTTTGAGACCACTATTCACGGTGTTGGATTGGGCAAGACCACTGTTCATGCTGTAATGGTTCCCTGTGTCAGCTTGGCACCTGCGAGGCTGTGACCATTCTGGTGGGGTCCACCTACTCAGGATAATTTTGTGATCATTCCACCCACAGTGGATAATGTGGCCATGGAGCGTGAGGTGCCATCAGTTGACCATCCACCGCCCACCGATTGTCCACGTCAACATATTTCAGCATATATATACACAAGTAGACAAAAGAAGCTTTCATAATTGAAGCGTTTGACTCAGAATCCCATTACCGTATTTTTCTTGTGCGATGACGACGTGGCCGATATGGACCTTTGGTTTTTGCTCTTGATAGTGATATGGACAAAAGGTCGGTGCGGCTTTAAAAAATGGAGAGAAATTTACCTTTGCTCGAAGAGGGCAACCGATAAAATCTACGAGCCCAACTGTGTAAAACTTTGTTTGGCGATTAGTAGCCATATTTATACCAACGTTAGAGTAATTAAGAAGTATGGACAGTCCCTTCATTGATTTTTTTTATATGACGTATGTTACTCTTTAAAAAGCTAAACTTGATAAATTTTGACTAATAATCATTAGTCAAATTTATACAAGCGGGCGTATAAAAATTATACCGATATATTTACATTTCAAAGTGCTTTCATACAATAGTATTGTTTTTTATAGCAAAGGAACAATTTGATAAGTGAGAAATCAATTATCAATAGTATTTCAAAATGTTTTCATACAATAATATTGTTTTATAGCTATCAAGAATTTAATTTATGATAAATCAATTATCAATGTTTAAAGGCAAAATTTGCGATCTTTGATGCGACTGTAAAACACCAAAAAAAAGGGGTAATTTTCAGAGGACACTAACTAGTATTTTATCATTTGCAAACCAAATAGAGATAGAATTCGTATTAAACAGACGATGTTGTTCCTTGGACCCTGTTGGACCCTGCCCATATGTATATGTATAGGCCGGACCATACAAAGGGCACAATCAGAGACTGGCCTGCCATATTTGTAGTAGACCCGGCACTGGTGGAGAAACCATCTTTGGTCGCTCCACCAAATTCTACAATAGTCCTGGTTCCATTAAAAACCGGGACTAAAAACGATTTTTAGTCCCGATTAAAAAAATTTTAATCTTTAGTTCCGGTTGGTAACAGTTGGTAACACCAACCGGGACTAAAGATGATCTTTAGTCCCGGTTCAAAAAGTCACCGGGTCGAATTCAGGCCCTAATTATCTTTAGTCCCGGTTGGTATAAACAACTGGGACTAAAAAATAGATTTTTAGTCCCGGTTGTTTATATCAACCGGGACCAAAAATAAAACCACCCGCGCGCGGCACAGAGTCTTGATCTTATCGTTCCATCCCCTTCCTCTCTCTCTCTACTCCCTGGCTCTCATATACAGCAACTCAGATCGGATCTGGCATTATGCCACAGAGTCTTCTCCTCTCCCCTTTCTCCTTCCCTTCTCCTCCTCCTCTACCAGAGCATGCCCGGGCGGTGGCGGCGCTGGCGGCGGGCCGCGGGTGGCGGGCCGTGGGTGGCAGGAACCGCGGCCGCGGGCGGCGGCAGGGAGCGCAGCCGCGGGCGGCGGCGGGCGGTGGCTGGCGGCTGGCCACGGGCGGCAGGGAGTGCGGCCGCGAGCGGCGGCTGGCAGCGGGCCGCGGCGGCAGGGAGCGCGGCGATGGCGGGAGCTGGCGGCCGGCGGCGCCCTCTCCTCTGTGGAAGCACAATTTTCTTTTTCTTTTCCCGAATTTTTGATACATTTGGATCTAAGAACTTATGATTCATTGGATCTGTGATGTATATGATGTGTGATGTATTTGATGTTTGGATCTGTGATGTATTTCTTTAAGAATTTGAGTTGTAGTTTTTTGAGAATTTGTGATGTGAATGATTCATTGATTTAGGGATGATACTTTGATTTGGGGATATTTGGGATATTTGAGGAGATTTGGGAAGCAGCAACTATTTGGAAAGAAACAATGAAAATAAAAAAAAAGAAAAAAATGGTGACCAATCGGGACTGTGCTGCTATCTTTAGTCCCGGTTGGTAACACAGATCTTTAGTCCCGGATTCGTAGTCCCGATTAGAAATCCGGGACTACAAAGGGGTTGCCAACCGGAACTACAAACCATCTCTCCACCAGTGCGGCTCACTAAGGCCCATTCATGGAAATTAAAAGCCAGGATTAGTTGGGAAAATGATAGCATTGCAGCAAAAAGAAATAATAAAATGAAATTGCTAACCTTCTGCTGATAGAAAATGCATCGCTAAATCTTGCAGATTTTAGGCTGCCAGATGAGCTTCGCGATTTATGCTCCAGGCCTTTTCCTCCAACCCTGACAACCTCCTCTTCTTCTCTGACGCCGGCGACACCCTAGACTCAAGCAGAGGACCCCATGGGTTAGGTTCCTAGGTTGGGGTGAGGGTAGCATGCCCGCTTTAGAGGGATGGCCGTGGGAGGCGGCAGCCCAGCGGTGGGCGGTGAGGCGTCAGAGCCATGGGGATGGAGGACAGGAGGAGAGTAGTTGGCCGACATTGGTGGCGGAGGTATCTTGCCTCCGACAACTCGAGGAGGAAGGAGAGAGCGGAGAGGGGGAGGGGTAGGGGTGACGCCCTCCGGCTAGCCGGTGAGGCGGGTGGCGGCATGGTGGGGTGGTGGCAGCGGAATGCGTGACGGGGAGGGGAACATGAGGAGGAGAATTAGGGTTAAGGGCTCTACACGAATCTTAAAACATATCCAACGGTCTAAAATTCGAAAGATGGGAGGTGAGATTTTTCGTTAACATATATATAGACAGTCCCATAATAAAATCCTGAAATTATGGTAGGTGGGCATACGTCCAACTCAAATCCTGAAACTTTTTTTCTTTTGCAAAACAACACAGGCCCCGTTTAGTTTTCAAAACAAAAACTTTTCACCCATCACATCGAATATTTGGACACATGCATGGATCATTAAATGTGGGAAAAAATCAATTACACAGTTTACGGGTAAATTGCGAGACGAATCTTTTGAGGCTAATTGCGCCAGGATTAGACAATGTGGTGCTACAATAAACATTTGCTGATGACGGATTAATTAGACTGAATAAATTTGTCTCGCAGTTTCCTGGCGGAATCTGTAATTTGTTTTGTTATTAGACAATGTTTAATATTTCAAATATATCCGTATATCCGACGTGATACCCCAAAACATAAAATTTTGCCATCTAAACCGGGCCTCAATCCTGAGACTAAATCCTAAGAAAATACAAGTACAATGTACATGTGAACCATCACCACAAGGAACCCTATCTCAGTTCACGCGTTAAATTGATTTTTTTTTTCTGTTTGTTGATGGACGGGAAAAAAAAACAAAAGAACATTTCTAATAGTAAAATTTTGGTATAGCAAATGGTTAATAGGCAATAGCTGGCGCATGGCGGTGATTGCAAAGTGCAAACCAAGTGATCACAACCCCATGGTATGCGTTCAATAAAGTCGAAGTAAGTTAGGGGCAGTTTAGATCCCTGCCAAGTTTTTTCACCCAATCACATTGAATGTTTGAACACATGCATCAAGTATTAAATATAGAAAAAAACTAACTACACAGATTGCATATAAATTGTGAGACAAATATTTTAAGCCTAATTACTCTATGATTTGATAATGTGGTGCTACAGTAAATATTTACTAATGACGGATTAATTATGCTTAATAAATTTGTCTCGCAGTTTACATGTGGAATCTGTAATTTGTTTTGTTATTAGACCACGTTTAATACTTCAAATATGTATCCGTATATCCGATGTGACACGATAAAAATTTTCACCGCTGATCTAGCCTTGCTCCTCCCAACCAACTAATGAACAGGTAACGCCAAAGTAGCAATACATAAGTTTTTCTTTAAAGAAACAAGGTTGTAAACACATAAAAAAATCTGTTAGATATAGTAGTAGATGTAGAAAGTAATTAACCGTAAAAATAGGAATCCGGAGAGTGATAATGATTGAAAGAAAAAAAAATCTTATGAGATTAACTTCATGTTAAAATTTTCTAGGTTCATTAAAGCATTCCACCTACAAAATTCCTGGGGCTTTTGGAATTTCATAGGACTAACTTGCACGAAACAAATCCCATAGAATTTAATACCTATAAACTTTCTTTATAGATCATCCGTTTCGAAGAAGGGCCTACGACATTTTTTTAAGTGCAAGGACTTCAGAGGAATTTTACAGAAGTCGATTGAATCACCTCATGTAGAAATATTAAACTTTTAGGGGTCCGATGAGTGAAAACTGAAGTAAATTAATTTCTTGCAGGGCTAATTTAACTCTGTTTTATATTATAAATCTTCTTGAAAATTTAATTAGGTTTATAAAAATTTATAGCAACACTTATAACACTAAACTAATTTTATTACACCTAACATTGAATATACTTTGATAGTTTATTTGTTTTGTATTGAAAATGTTATTATATTTTTTATATACTTAATCAAACTAAAATTAAAAGAGTTAAAATGATTTATAATATCAAACGTTAAAAGAGTTAAAATAATTTATAATATCAAACGGAGATAGTATTTGCTTAGCCATTGGTGGTCAGTAGGAGCACGTAGCTCTCTACAACTTAGAGCATCCCCAGGTGATACGTTACCCGTACTCCATCCGCATTTTGGCGTATAGGAGCGAAAAAAACAGGGTCCAGGAGATGCGCCATCCAGGGCGCCAAATTAAAGTGGCGGATGCGTCAAACACGGAGAGAGAACGCCCAAAAATAGCGTGTCTCTCCCCATGGATAGTTAGAAGATATTACTAAAATATAGGATGATGGGATATGAATAATGTAATATGGATGATCTGTTGGAGTTGGAAGGGATATGGATAAGAAATTTTTTTATGATACTCTATATGAGTATTTGGAGGATCAAATATAGATTAACTCTTGGGGATGCTCTTATCTCCCGATTTTGTGCGTGCTTGTAACTGCTAAGATGAACATTATACAACTCATCTCTCTTCCTCCCCGGCCTGGTACGCTTCACCATTGAGCGAAGAGCATCAACGCCTTTTCCACAGAATCTGTTCATCCGTTGAGCGGGAGGTAATGAATGTTCCTTGTTCCACTACAATAAGGGATAGAAGCATTGTGTACGCGGTCGCTGTCATGCTTCCGCTTGTGAGTTTTTCATGTTTGATGAGCTTTTTATTTTTAATTTCAATAATAAACCACAGCAAAACTTATTTCTATATCAGATCTTCTTGGCCGTGCCAATTTAATCGGCGTGAACACGACAGCTAGATTAGCCGTGACGAAAGGATCTGTTTGGTAGAGCTTTTGATAGTTCTGGCTTTTCATAGAATAAAAAAACAACCCAAACAATTTAGTTTTTTTTTGTCTATAATCTGAGTAAATGTAGTGTTAGAATCAATTGAGTGAATTATAGGTTTGTTCATTTTGATGCCCAAATCAACCATACCAAATTATAACGATCAGAGCTTGGTAAGGTGGCAATGGTTGAATTGTGTTTAATATTTACCAAGTGAACAGGCCGTATATTACCATCTTCTCATAATTCCCACTATTCCATTCTCAAAATCTAAAACCCTTCGAAACAGGCCCAAAAAATAACATCACATATATCCACTTTGGCATAAATAAGCGCGTAATCGTTTTACTTTTAAAAATAGAAGTTAAAAGAGTCCCAGAAAATAAACAAAGATTGACGCCACCAAAGCTTAGCTATGACTCTCAGCAATTAATCAACCACTCCACCGCGCGTCTCCTTCTTCGCTTCTTCTTCCTCCCTCTCCTCGTCGCCCCCCCCCCCCCCCCCCCCCCCCGGCGAATCGTCGAACTTTCCTTCCTAACCCGACCAACCATCTCTCTCTCTCTCTCTTTCTCCCATTCGGAATATTGATTCTTGCCCTCTCGCCCGCCTTCCTGGTGCTTCTTGGGAGTTGGGAGGGAGGGAGGGGATGGACTGGCGGCCGGACGGCGCGGCGCCGCCGGTTCCGGTGGCGGCGGCGCCCGTCGTACCTGTGGATTTCACGGTGGTCAAGAGGCGGCTCGGTGGCGGCGGCGACATGGAGGTGCGCGACGCGTCGGGCGGCCTCGCGTTCCGGTTCGTGGCGGCGGCGGCGGCGGGCGGTGGCGGGGGCGGGGGCAGGGCGCTGCTCGACGCCGCCGGTGGTGTTCTCGTCACCGTGAGGAGCGGCGAGGTGATGGTGTGTGTGTGTCTTTTTTTTTTGGATTTATCCTCGAAATGGATCGGAATATCGGTTGCCTAGTTTTGTTGCAGGATTGCATCATGGACAGGTTAATTTGGTTTCTTGGACCAAATTTTTTCGTTTCAGCTCCGTACATCTACTAAATAGTGTCATTCAGACATTCAGTTAGAATGAGGATTTCAATTAGCAGTACGATGGTTCTAGAGCTTAAATCAAAACTAAACTAGTTGTTCAATTGTTTCTGCGATCTCCTTGATTTTAGCAAGAAATTTCAATATCCGTACTCCATAGGAACGAGAGGTGAAAATCGAATCGTAAATTCACCAAATGAAATACTACATATGAAGAGACATGTTAGCTGAACATGGTCCTGATGGGAAGGGAAGAACACGCTATCGAACTTGTGATGTGAATGGAACAGTGAAGAGTGTAATGTCTAAGTCGGGACAGTATTTTAAAGCCCATAAAATTCTCTTCTTAGGAGATCATAGAAGAACTTACAATTAGACCATCCTAGTAAAATGTAGGGAAAATTAGAACCATGCCATTATAATTTTGCAAAATTTGAGATATGCCATCCTTTCATTATCTAAAAATGGGTGTAGAGGCCGGGTTCTTTCCATTGTCTAATAAAGTTTTTGTGCATTAGTTATTGATGTAGCCTGGTATGTCTGATGCATGACAAATATTCTTTTAAGTTAATGTGCATGTTTCTTCATAGTGGTACTTTGTTTGAACTTTCCGAACATGATGTAGAATATCTTAGAGTATATTATTAAGTGCTAAATTGTCTTTCCAGGGAGAGTGGCAAGCATTCAGAGGAAACAGTTTGGATTATAAAGACATAATTTACACGGCAAAATCAATATCAGTTTGTTCAAATCGAAATGAAGTACATGTATTCATGCCACCAAGAAGCAATTTTCAAGATACGAAAGCAAGCTACAGGCTCATAGGAAATACATCCCGGAGAGCATGCACAATAATAAGTGGGGACTCCATTGTTTCTCAGGTAAATGTGTACAAGTTTCACCCATGGTTTGAACTTTGGACATATTTCAGTCTATCGGATTAGCGCTACAGTTGTGCTTCTTTTTTTTCTTTGTGCAGACAAATCTCCTATATAAACTCAAGAAGGTTGTCTATTCAACACGGAAGTTTAGAGTGACCATTTACCCAGGAAATGATACACTTCTTGTCATGGCAATGGTTATGAACTTCTTTATGGAAAAATGACACACAATCGGAATGCCTTTTTGAGGAAATGATAACTTCCTGCCAGCATAAATCCTGTATATATTTTTCTTTATTATTGACCAGATTGTTTACGCCCTTAATATGGAATTATGGATGCCTCATTCTTCTGTCATTCAGCAAATTCTCTTTACTGAACCCACTGATGTAAATGTCAAAAGCATTGTGGCTTTTCTGTGTGTTGTTTGGCTAGGTAATTACATATTTGTGGCGGATCTTGGAAGAACTAACAGGAAGGGCTAAAAAAAACTATACAAATCTATAGCTCTCTCTTCTAATCGATGTATGGTAGAAAATTTTAGTGGGAACTTAATTGGGGCTTCTATAGTTACAACACCGGTAGCGGGGGCTTGGGTCTTGCCGCCCCCCATGGTAGATCCGAATCTACATATTCCCTTGTAGGTAGGGATGAGAAGGGACCTTCCCCTATTCGGTTTGGAGGAATTTCGCATGAATTTTGGAGGAATTGAATGTTGAGAAGGAGCCATTGGAGAGACTTATTAGTTCATTGCCTAACGAAAATAGATACAATCCCATTATTATGTTAGATGGCAAGATTTAACCCCTAAAAAGTGACCCATTAGTCTTATCCATAAAACTGATGCTACATTAACCTGGACGTGGGCCTTTGGCCTCTCGGCCTAATGCCCATGACAACCCATATATCATAAAGTTGCTGCAAATGATCTACTTCTTTCCACAAGTGTAAGTCCAGAAGTTATCTCCTATTGCCATTCTTATTTGTATAAATATTAATATGCTTGATTAAATTTTCATGTTGATTGCTGGAACAAACAGTTGTTGGCATCTGTTCTAGTCCCCATCTTCCCCATTTTCTCCTTGAGCACTAGACCACAACAAGAACATAGTTTGATTAAAAAAAGGATCTTCTCCGATGTCCTCAGACTTCTGAGAACTTGTGACTTGTGTATATATATTCAATGGAGTTCTTCGCCAGGATAGTTAAACAAGTTTGGTACATATGCATCCAAACGATACATTATTTTTATTACGTCCGATTATAGCTTTGATCAACTGTATGTTTTTTTTAGAAGTTTTATCAACTGTATGTGTTTGAGATGTGTGTGTGTTTTGAAAATTACAGAATTGATCAACATAAGTCTGCATATACATAGTTTCTTTCCCGCTTCTAAATTTAGGCTTTATTTTGATGGGCCTCAATCCTGGCCCATCCACGTGCATGGGCTACGATTTCCGCAAAATCCAAATGGTGCCTTAATTAGTGATAGTTCAGAGTTAGCACATCAATAAATACAGATGTACTCCTTAGTAGCTCTGACATTTGTATGGAATAAAATGAAACGAGAAAAAAAATAAATTCCCTGTTATACAACTGAAAGTTCATCATAGGACCATATCTACCATAACCTTCAGCTAGCCTTCTTCGCTACATTAGGGATCTAAAGAACTTTTGGTCCATACATTATCACTTCAATCTGTTCACTTAGTAATACGTGTCATAATCTTTATGTTTACTAGTATATTTTCTGGATAATTGTGATCTTTCCAACAGTATATGTGCAATCATGAAAGCACACATCAGGAGTAGAGAACTTTGGTTATTCAGGCAGTTGTCACTGTCCTGTTGTTTTGTCTCGGATAAAGAGATATACATCCAAGTTCAGATAATGACAATGTCATTTTGTGCTGAAATTGCTCACGGTGGCGACAATGGCTACAGTACATTGATTATTCTCTTGGCACCTTACATGGTTTCAGATGACCTGAAAGTACTAGAGAACAGCAAAAGAAAAAAAAATTACACCTTGGCGACATGAACAGGGTAGTTCATTTGGATACTTGTGTTGCTAACGATGTGAACTATGCATTGCATGGAACAGATGAACCGAATCAAGTGTTTAGAAGTTGGTAGGTTGCCATTTTCCTTAGCTGGAAAGATGAAAGAAAACGTGTATCACTGTTATGAAAACAAGCTAATCATTATGATAAGTAATACTACTACCTCCGTCTCTAAATGTTTGATGTTGTTGACTTTTTTTAATATGTTTGACCATTCGTCTTATTTAAAAACTTTTGTGAAATATATAAAACTATATATATACATAAAAGTATATTTAACAATAAATCAAATGATAGGAAAAGAATTAATAATTACTTAAAATTTTTGAATAAGACGAATGGTCAAATATGTTTAAAAAAGTCAATGGCGTCAAACATTTTGGGATGGAAGGAGTATATTTTATCTTTTGGAATATTGACAAATTTTGCGTACTTTTCTTTCAAAGCAATATGAAACAAAACATGAAAAGAAGATGGATCATTCATTCCAGTTGCAGGGAATCTGGAAGCAGCAGGAGGGGATTTGCTAGGCAACTTGGATAAACATGGCAGAAGAAACGCACTCAAAATGCTGCTCTCAGACCATTAATGGCAAAGTTATCACTTGCCAAAAGCAATCAGAATAGCACCAAGCTTCCAACTCTGCTGCTTTCATGGTCATAGCAATCCTCCTAAGAAGAACATCACGTGAAATTTTTTGCGCATGATTGAGCGTGCTCGCACGTAGTTTTCGCCGCCAAACTTTGACAATTGCCGTTGATCGATCCTATCCTGATTGGAACTGAACTGAACTGAACAAGAAAACACAGGACAAAACACACAAAGTTTCTAGGCAACCAAAGGAAGCGAATTTCCTGGCATAAATTCTGTTCCTAGGATCAGAAAATGTTGAGAGGCAGGTAGATGTTCCTTTCGGCGTCGCGTAAGCGAAAGGCGCACGCGCATCACATTGTGTGGGTGTGGGTGCTATGAGAATCTGAGGAGTTCTTGCTGGAAGATTGATTTTTGTCCCAAGACTAAATATTGTTCACTACTAGAACTCTGAAGGTCAAGTTAAGTTCTTACATGTGGACTTCCACAACACCAAGAATCTCTCGAGACTGCTGAAGGAGGCTGCATGCTGAGCTATACTCCACACAATGGAAAGAAAATCTCCCACATCAAATGTTGTCTCTCCATTCCTTTCACCTCACATGGATTAAAATATCCATTGCAGATCATCATCATACTGATCCTAAAGGAAGATCACACAAAAAAATTATAAAAAGGAGATATGGTGAGGCTTGCTTGGCCACATTGGCACAGGCAGATGTGCTGAAAGCACTGCACCATTTGCATCATTTTGCCTTTTTTTTTCCTAGATCTGGAAGCAACCAAAGCAATCTTGCTGGAAATGGGCTCTCACTCACAGCACCAGGTATATGCTGCAGCAGTGTGTAGACATGATTTGCAGTAGTTAAAGATTTGCAGGAGGATTAAGGCCACACAGTGAAATGACAGACATGCAGGGAGGACCACCCTTAGCTAAAAAGGCTATAGCAATCTATGTCCCTCTGTATTATTATGTGGAGAGGACCACTGAGAGGTATTAGGTGTTAGATCCAGAGTAATTAGCATGTCATCATAGGGCACTAGAGCCAATTGTTTCACTGGTGGCCTACCATTTTTGGTCAAGGTTATCGGCAAATGGAATTCAAAAGGCAAGATAGCAAGAGATCCTAGCTTTATGGTAAAAAAAGATTCGAGTTCATTTGAGTCATCATTATAAATTTAGCATGTAAATTTTCAGTCACATAAAGTTGCACATTCCTAAGTCTAAAATTGAAGTAGTATGCAATGTGCAATTTTACTTCTTTTTAACTGTAATTTTCTTGTTATACATGGCTTTAATTTATTTTTAATTTGCGATTGAATAGTTTTCATGTAATTTTGTAAATTTTTTATGAATTATGAATTTATTTCATGCAAAATTTTGTATGTCTAGTAGGAACCTTTTATATAAGAAAATGGAAGATGGAATAATAATCATTGGATTGCCATCAAAGGGATAAGAAAAATGACTGACATTTTTGAAAATTTTAATCACCTGAAATCTATACAATCCCTAATGCTTTTATGCTCTATATAACAAACATTAAAGAACTTCTGGTTAACACTGACTAGCCTTTACTAACTCCTCAAATACAAACATAACATGTTACATAGTTTTCTAATACATATATACACACTATTTGGCACCCAATGGTTAAAAATAAATCTGATCATTTAACAGTTACGCAGCAAAAAAACATAAATCCAATTAGCAATGGGACCAATAAATTAGAAATTAGCAATTTAGTTTCCTTAAAACTCTGTACCATAACAAAAGCATTGAAACTTGGAATAAAAACAATACAAACTAGAGTAATTTTTGAAATTTATGTAAAAATGACTTGGTAATAACACAATAGTAAATACATAATTATTAATATATAAATAGTATGTCCAAATTATGGAATTATTAATTCTATAAATAATAAATGTGCATTTACAATTTTGGCTTATATATAATACAAAATTGGGTTTGAAATATGTATTTTCATAAAGGTAAATTCAGAATCATAGTATCATTTTCTATAGCTCCACTTGCACTCGTGTTAATTAGGTTGTCAAGCCACTAAGAATTTGGTTATTCGTATGATTAGAGCATATCTATATAATTAGTCAAAAGGCTATATACGGTATCAAAGCTCGGTTGAATAGGAGGCTAATGACAAGTAAATAGATAATTAATCAGATCAGGTGAATGAATGCCATGCATTGAAAATTGCACCTACTCCATGATTTGTACATGTTTTTCTTACAGAAAGAAAATAGAAACACATCTCAATGTAAGTTCTCTACTGCTTCTGTGGCCCGGTTGAACTGTGCTCCCATGATGGCCTCATTTGCACAGTTGAAATACAGATAGATAGCTTTTGTAACCATTGCATGCTTTGCGTCTCTGCTTCGCCTTGCGCCATCGCACATGATCTCAAGACCAAAATTGTTGAAGCAGATCAACAAAGACAACAATGTTGTGACCTCGTTCATCCAATTCTGATGAAACCAACAATGTAGGCACGATCCCGATGTCAGATCAGCTCTCAATCTGAAGTGTATTCCCTTCTTCCTTTATTATCAGTTTAGTCTTTGGATAAACTGATCATGCATTGAACTCAAATTGATACAAGAATCATTAAATTCTAACTGAGCTGGAGAGACACAGATATATATCATTAAATTCTAACTGAGCTGGAGAGACACAGATATATATCATTAAATTCGAACTGAGCTGGAGAGACACAGATATATATAAGCACTAATGTTAA